CGCGAGCGTCCCTTTCCAATAAACTGCTGGCCTCCAATGGTGAGCTCCATTTGGTAAATCATTGGCCCCATTGGAGGAAAAGGGTAGTAGTACCTGGACACAAGAAGGAGAATATGTCGTCTTAAAAACCTTATAAAAAATTTAAAAAAAAAACAAAGTCTGAAAATGGAAAGAAAAAACAAAAAAAAAAAGAACTAACTGTTGCATAGAGCGCTGGTAAGGCCCCGGGGCCCTGACGTAGTGAAAGTTTGGCGATCTCATTCCCGGGTACGGATCAATGAGTTTGTACATAGGCTTTTTACCAAGCTTCAAACACAGTGCATTCAGCTCCATGGTGTGTGTTATCCCATCCACTGCACAGCCAACGGAAACAGAGACAAGAGAAGACAACAGGTCAAATTTACAACCATGTAGGATCACACGTTCTCCAGAATATAGACAAGAGAAGACAACAGGTCAAATTTCCAACCATGTAGGATCACACGTTCTACAGCATATGTGTCAAACACGAGGCCCGGGGGCCAAATGCGGCCCGCCGAGTCATTTTGTGTGGCCGGCCAGAGGTTCAAAAGCCAAACCGATAGTAAGATGCTGAGAGTTGAGGGGTCATTAAATTTTCAAAATAAAACATCTTTTAGACTTTATTCTGTTTGTATCAGAGTCTGACTGCGACCCGTTACCAAATGACCTCTGGACTGGTACTGGTCCACGGACCGGGGGTTGGAAACCCCTGATCTATGCAGTCTTCCATTTACAATCGGCCTCCCAGTGAAAATGAGTTTGTTCTATAGAAAGACATAAATGTGTCTGTGGACACACGCCGCCCCCACCTGGACTCCTGCCTGTATTGCGGGGCGACCTCACAGAGGGTTTAGGGAGTGTGGTCTCGGTCAGGGCCGAAGAAGCAGCGGAATGCTGGGCTTTCTTGATGCTGGTCCCCTCGGCCTCCCAGTGCTGGTCTCCCAGCGTGAGCCTCACTGAGAAGATCTGACAGATGAGGTCGTTAACCGGCGTCAACGGCCGCTCAAATCAACCGACGTAAACCAAAAGTCAACGTGCTGCTACGTACCTTGGAGTGAGCTGGTCCTTGCTCACTAAGTAGCTTATATTCAGGTTGGATCTTATTGAAACGGGCTAACTCATTCACCAAACACATGGGGGTCTTCTCTTTAGGGTTTGCCATGTTAGTTACTAGAATATAAAAAAAAATACATTTGGACATAAATATAAACATTTGAAAAAAAAAAAATATTTTTTTTATTTTTAAATAACCTTATGGACATTCAGGAAGTCGTTTAATTACAAATATGAGGTGAGCTAGAAATAAAACCGTACGTTATTTCATCTTGGTTTGACCAGACGGGACAGATCAGAACCAAAACCCAGTGTTTCTGTGAGGGTTTTTTAGCCCCTACCCCCCCACCTCCCCACAACCAACCAACCAACAATAGTAAAAAGGTAGTTGTAGTTTCTGAGTAAACAACGGTGTTTACTTACAACCACTATTTATCTAAGGCTAAACTAAAAGTTTGGTGTAAAATAGAGAATTAAAGTCTTATAAAGAACCAACAAACCTATGGTGGTGGAGGTGGTGGTGGTGTTGTAGGGAGTGACGGAGCCCGCAGGAAGAGCAGAGCTCCTGATTGGCTGGCTCGCACTCTCGGAGGGTAAGGTCCCCGAAGCACAGGGGATGCTGTATCCAGGCTGCGTCAGCTGCACGGGGGCCGGGGCGGCCGACATCGGACTTGATGGGCATTGGAACTGGAGCTGAGACATCGTGAGCCAGAGTTGAGGCAGAAACCTGGCAACGCAGACGGACGAACGCCGAAAGTTGGAGGAACTGTTGTTTGGGGGTGAGTCCAAATATAAGCTGTCTGGAAAAAAAAAATCATTTGATTAGGATTTTTTTCATATGGAGGTAAAAAAAAAAATAAAAAAAAAAAACGGCATTTTGCGCAAAGTTAAATTGAGCATTTGGAGTTGTACTGAGTTTTTGTCCAATATCGGAACGACAGAAATTCTTAGTATCGGATTAAGCTATCACTAAAAAAATAAATTAAAAAATAGGAACATATGCAAAAACAAAAATATATTCAAAGCAACAAGGAATAAAATACAGCAGGTTATTTAAGCTCCTCCTACTTTTCTGTTCACGTCTTACATCCAGCTGAAAGACACTGACTTATAAATTCGAAAACACTAGAACACTAAACTGCGTTCTGACGCCCCCTATCAGCAACGTACGTAAATGCCACGACGAGGTGGGCAGAAAACTCAAATTATTCTCTTCCTCGTTGTTGAGGATTTGGGGGAAAAAAATGCTTTTGATAAAGAAAAAAAAAACAATGGATGAGAAGCTGCGTTGTTGAGGATTTGGGGGAAAAAAATGTTTTTGATAAAGAAAAAAAAATGGATGAGAAGCTGTAGAAGCTTTCGTTTGTTGAGATGTTTTCTCCCAGTGGGCCCTTGGAATTATTGAATTATTTAAGCCAAAATTAAATCAAATTCATAAAATAAATAATGCATTGGAAACATACTAATTTGCATTTAAAATGACGATCGAATAAAACACCAGAATTCCCACATGAACCTAGTCTAAAAATCAATTCTGATGTTAAAGCTACGAGCTAGCTGCTGCTGCTGCTGCTGCAAAACCTTGTATCAAATCCCTCATATATTTTCATTAACATATAATTAGGTCGATTAGACAGCACTAAAAACACGGTTGTCTCTCAAATAATTTGCTCCAGCTGGTGATTGTTGGAGGTTTTGTCTTCTTTTATTTCATTTAAGGACACTGTTAGCTCAGAGGCTTTCAAAATAAACGAGTACAGCTGCAAAAACAGACGAATATTTCATTGAAACGCGTGTGAAAAAATAAAGTCTGTCGTCTCAACGCGTTAACAGGATCATCTCACTCTGCTTTATTGACTATCAAGTCTCATTAGTCTGGAAAAACCAGATCAAACTGCTAGCTTGCTAACCCCGGGGACAGGAGTATAAAATGAACCTTACCTCGTCGCTCCTTTCCTTTAGTTTTTAATTACTCCATAAGTGACACTGATTTACAACTGACAGTTTTCTTTTAAACTGTTTTACGTGTTTTGTTTTGTTTTTTTATGGTAATCTTTATCAAAAAGAGGGCGGTGAAGAGATGGACATTTGGGAGGACACGGCAAACACTAAAGAGAATGGCCCCGTCTCGATGCCGTCTTCCGGAAGTGACATCACCAGACATAAAGTCATTTCAAAATAAACGCCGGTTGTCTCCGTGATTTCTTTTTTTTTCTTATTCTTCAGGTCGAGTAGTGAAATCAAATTGTATACAACGGGATTTTATCAAATTTATTTAAAAAATAACAGACACGAAAGACACGAAGATTACAGGACAGGTTATCTAAATAGTGTAAAAAAAGAAAAAAGAAAATCGAAATTCACACACTAATAACTGTTAAAGGTATTATGTTAGCTAATAAATACAAAAGAGATCATGAGTCACCATAAAATATTGCTTCTACAGTCTATGATCATTTATTTTCCGGTGCAGTTGAGTGAGGATACGAGCGGCGAAAGCTGGTTATAGTGGTTCAAGTGTAACTTTTTTTTTTTTAAAGGTCACAGGTTATATGCCTGACGGATGTTCAGCGAGTCTCTCAGCATCAAGTCACGCAAACGCCACAGTGCGTCCGCCATCGTGGTGTGGGCTCCTTTGCTCTTGAGCCAATGAGCTGGCAGCCTACTCTCCTGCTCTTTAGTCAGGTGACCGTCTCGTCTTTGAGCTGTTATGAAAAATCACGTCAAATGTAAAAAATTAACAAATGTAGTTGGGATTTCGATGATGAAAATCACATTTGTATTTACTCTGTTCCCGAACTATGAGAACGTATGTTCAAAAACATCATTTTTTTAAAGGTTAAGGTTGACTACCTCTAAGAGTTTGGTCCCACTTGCTGATGGTTGAAGACTCTGAGTTCAAGCCCTCAATGTATTTAAGGTAGGCCTCTGAGTGAAGAACCCTCTGAGTCTTTGGAGGTGGAGCCACAAACATGGGTGTGGTAGGCTGCAGGTGAGAAGGCTGCCCCTGCCCAGGGTACGGAGGGGGAGGGGGGGCGTGCTGCCCCGGGCTGAACATACCAGGCTGGAATAATAAAAAAAAAACAATTTCATGTCCATGTCTCCCAACACATAAAGAGGCAACAATAAAGTCCAGGGTCTGTGTGAAAAACCTTTATATCATTTCACATATTCATGCATTTAAAGAAATGCATCAAAAACTGAAGCTCACCTGCTGAATAAAGTTTCCTTGTGCGGCCATTCCATTCACACCGGGGGCCATCACACCTGTCAGACGATAAGGTTTAGTTCCAGCTCAGCGTTCACTTAAAGTTCAGGTAAAAAAATTTTTTTTTAAAAATACCAGGCTTTGAAACTCTGAACTCTGAGACGTGTTTGTCAACGTTAGTTGGGATATAAGTGTGTTGTTAGTTGTTGTTGTTGTGTATCAGTTTTCACATGCACTGCACTACGTGTGTGTGTGTGTATACGGTGTGTTTTGCGGAGCGGTGGTCATTGACACCCAGGCGGCTGAGCCCGCGGGCCAGGTGAACCCCTGCAGCAGGAGCGGCACGACTGGATGTAACTGAGCAGGTGTGGCTAGAACAACGGCCCTTACCCTGGTGGGGCATACCGGGGTACCCCGGCACACCGTGCTGCAGATGGTGAGGAGGAAGGTGGTGCCCCCCTGCAGGGTGAGGTGACATTGTAGCCACGCTCAACAAGCCCTCATGGGGGCCATGCATGGGCATATAAGGTGGGCCGTAAGCTCCCATCATGCCTTGAGAGTGGGGAGAGGACAACAACATATCCATGCATAAGTAACATGCAGGTGACTCTAATGTAACATGCACTAGGAGTGAACACTGAGGCCCCTTTCACACAGTGACATTTCTACCTTAGTTCTGACTTAATTTTCAGCATCAAAACTCACAGTAAAATGGAGTTTTCTCCCTGTATATACTGTTAAAGTTTATTTTTGTTTTTTTTTAACCAACAATGCCTGCACTAATTAATTGCTGAAGCATGGAAATGTGAAAC